ATGGAAGGAGTTTCTTAGATATGTGGGCGGAGTTAGGCCTAACTGTGATTGGTGGCATTTTGGAGGGGGCAGAGTTTGTCCCAACAATGATTGGCAGCATTTTGGAGGGGGCGGAGTTTGTCCCAACCACGATTGGTGGCATTTTGGAGGGGGCGGAGTTTGTTTTAACCATGATTGGTGGCATTTTGGAGGGTGCTGAGTTTGTCCCAACAATGATTGGCAGCATTTTGGAGGGGGCGGAGTTTGTCCCAACAATGATTGGTGGCATTTTGGAGGGTGCTGAGTTTTTCCCAACAATGATTGGCAGCATTTTGGAGGGGGGCGGAGTTTGTCCCAACCTTGATTGGTGGCATTTTGGAGGGGGCGGAGTTTGTTCTAACCATGATTGGCAGCATTTCGGAGGGGGCAGAGTTTGTCCTAACCATGATTGGTGGAGTTTTGGATGGGGCGGAGTTTGTCCTACATGTGACTGGCAGCATTTTGGAGAGGGCGGAGTTTTTCCTAACCATGAGTTTTTCCTAACCATGATTTGGTTAGGAATATAATTTGGAATACAGATGGAAGTTGTTGGCTGTGGGTGGAGTTTGGCAAAACCATGGTTGGTCGGGTTGACTTGTCTTGTGTAACAGGGTAAAAGATGAAGTAATAAGTAAGAAAAATTATGTAAATATAGTTTATAGACTTCAAATTTCATGTGGCTAGCATCTTCTGTGTTTCTCGTCCMTCCAGCTGCCAGCGTTTATCCAAACAAATCATCATGGCTTCTTTAAACCCCACCCAAAATAGTCCATCTGACCAACTCTAATAAAATCCTCCCACAAAACTCAAACAGACCAATCATGTCTTTCCTAAACTCTGCCCACACATCAAGAAACTCCCATTTAGTGACTGCAGAGACCCCCCAGGTGTCCCCCACCTCTCACACAGACTGCTGGAGTTAGGCTCCACCTCTCTGTGACGCAGCAAAGAGAAGCAGGTAAAGGAAAYGGATGGATGGTTTTATTTACTCCACCAGCCCAGATGATAAATGCAGCCTTTCTCACTAAACAACAACAATTTGTTTGATTATTTTCTTCATTTATCCTCGGCTTTAATCCGAGCTGAAAGAATTAGCTGCCGACGCCTGTCCCCAGCGCACGGCATTGGGGTTTTTTTTATTTGAGGGCTYGGCTGGAAGGATCTAATCCTCTGGATGTACACAAGGACGCGATGCAGGAGCAGATGCTGCTCTGGTTTTCATTAATCATCACATCTCCTCTGTTCTTAAACCACGGAGCAAATAGACCCCCTCGTCCCTCACAGAAACCAGGGTTCACCGAAGGCCCACATGACAAAACGGCCTCTAATTTAATGATAACTATCACCTGTTCTCCTCGTGTGGCGCCACACTCTGGATGTTTTGTGAGTAATTGGTCTGTGCCTTTTGCTTGATTACTTTGATTGCCACATTTTTCACTGTCCCCTCTCTGGTGATTGCCGTGGCACTACAGGTGCTGGRTTTCATTAATTACGGCCCTAATTGGTTTGGAAATGTTTTCATGCCAGTTTGTTTTGGGGTGGGGGTGTGGGGAGGTTGTGGGTTGTTGAAACCACGCAGAGTAATCCGCGCGTACTCGAAAAAGATAAATGAATCTCATTTTGTCAGCAGATTGTGGCGAAAACTCCAGGAGGCGGCGAAATCGGAGGACAACAAGCTGCTGGGTCCGCTGACGTGAAGTCCGCCCAGATGTCCTCTGAGATGGGTTTGATGTACGATCGTAAAGTTAAAAAACAAAACTGCAACGTAGAGAGGAGGAAAAACTTTGCTTGGTTTCAAACTTTGGGTTCAGACAGCAGAATTAGTGTTTGTGAGTAAACCCTGTGCATTTTATTGTTATTCACTGTTTTTACTAAATGTTAAATGTTATGTTCAAATATTAAATTCTAAATCTAAATGTAAAAGTTAAATCTKAAATGTTGTGACTAAATGTTACATTTAAGAATTTCAGAATTTCGGAATTGAACGCATACTTTGCCATTGTTGTGTGTGACTTGTTATGATGTCATCATCCTGTGACAAAAACAAATGCTAACAATGCTAACGCTGCTGAAGATGGTATTTAAATTTAAATTCAAAATGTGTTCATTGAAAACAACATGGGTGGGTGGGACCTGTGGTCTGGAAGTTTGAAGTGCAGCTAAGACAACACCTAAGCAGAATTAGCAGAGTTAGCAGAGTCAGCAGCCTTTGCAGTAATAGCAGTGTTAGCAGTGCTAGCAGCATTAGCAGAACTATCAGAGTTAGCAGCATTAGCAGAATTAGCAGCATTAGCAGTGTTAGCAGCATTAATGTTTGCTTTTGTCTCAGAATGATGATGTCATAAAAAGAGCTGCACAAAGGCTGCATTCCATTCTGAAATACTTAAATGCAAATTTTAACATTTAGCTGCAACATTTATGTTTACACATTTAGACTTGACATTTAACATTTAAACTTAAATACAAACTTAATATTTAGTATAAAAATAGCTGAAAAAGAACAGTGAGCTAATAGGGTTTTACACTCAGAAAGTGAACTAAACTATGAAAATTTGTTTGTGACATTTTAAAACATTTTATTTTACWCTTTGTGCCCCGTGGGTTAAGTTTAGGTGGGGAAAGTGGTCAAAACACAAATATGTGCCCATATCTTTCAAAACGTAATCTGAAGGGAACAGAAGACTCACCTCAACCTTGAAAACCTAATTTAGCTTGTATTCCACTGCCTAAAGTTGTTTTTTTGTTGTTTAAATTGTGAAAATAGAACCCTTCWCTCCATAAAAAGCTCTGGAAAGACCTGAAATGTAAAAAAAATGTCATTTTAAAACCAGGAAATGGAATAAAGAAGCTAAATATTTCCTTTTTAAAGACCTTGAGTGTGATAACCTGCTGAGATTGTTTTCCGTTTCGCCTCAGAGACTCCGGTTTACGGCCGTCGCTTTACTCTGTGTTTAACTTTAAATGTAATAAACTGATGAGGTGTCATGTTGGCCCCAGAGCTGAGACACATTTTATTATCAGACTCTCAGCACAAACAGCTCACAGTCACTCAGCTCCTSAAGGTCTGCTCAGGTGTGAGGGGGTGTCATTCCAGTTTGCAGAGAAAAAGAAAAGCTTTGATCACAGACAGCGAGAAGGTGACACAGGTAATATATTCAGGAGGGTAGTTTGTGGACGGAGACAGACACCTCTGAGGACAGGGACGCTGAGGGGAACAGAATCAGAGCTCGGGACGAGGGGCTGCCAGGTCTGATGATGAGAGCTCCACCTAAAGAGGAGGAGGCGGGCTCTCTGTCCGTCAATCCGTTACAGTTTCAGACAACTGTATCTTTTACATAGAAAGTCTAAAATACACCAACTTGGTATGAGTCATCCATGTTGCATACCTGACCATACCATGTGGTCAAATGAAAGAAAGCCCTGTCCCCTGACAACAGGAAGTGCCCTTGTTTTTGCTTGGAAAGCTCCATCTCTGACCCTCTGGACCTCATCAGCAACAAACTGTGTCAGAACCCCGTCTGCTCACCTTAGACCTCTGATGATTCCAACAAAACTGCTAACACAGCAACAGCTGGCGTTGAGTTTTATCTTGTTAGCTTCAGGAAATAAAAGAAGCATTTTCTTTGATGTACTTTATTTCCATGCAACCCTTTTTAATCCAGCCATGGACCACTGAGAGGAGTCCCCCGACTCAGACATCAGTGGGTCCTCTCTGGTCTGGAACACCTTGGGATCCACCAGAAGGGGCTGAAGATGAGGTCTGGGTTTCATCCTGGACCTGATGCCTTGACTCGACTACAGATAAGATGAAGAATTTATTATTTAAAGTCCAAAAACCCTAAAAACCAAACAGGAAACTGGAGTTTCTTAATAAAACTTAAATATATACTTCAAAATAAGAGTCTTGACCGAAGTACGTCCCCAGTTTCTGTTGAAAGACGTTTTTAATCATCTTTCCTATTTTTCATTTATAAAGAAGTTTAAAATGAAACTAAAGATCAGAGTGGACGTATTAAACTTCACTCTTTGCAGGATTCAGTTTCAGTTTGGTGAACCAGGATTATTTTTACATGTCAGTGACTATTTTTCATGTTTCATGCTCCACAAGCAGCTCATTTGTAAAGCTCACTCATGTGAATAACCCGTTCATAATATCCTGACTAATATGCATGAAGCACTGAAATGAGCCTAAGTGCTCTTTCCAAAAAAATTAAAACAATAAAAAAAAGACATCACTTGAACTTGTCAGAGTTTGTCTTCTGGTGAAGCAGGAAGCCATGTTGAGTTCTGGACCGGATTAGTTGGCGGGGTGACCTCAGGACACCGAGGAGACAATCAAGAAGGAGGAGGAAGAGGCTCATAAACTCACAGCTTCTCCAAGATCAGTTAAAGGACGAGTGTTTCCTCGGAGCTGGTCTAAATGTCACATCCTGGAGGATCGTTACACAGAACCATCAGGGGAGTTCATAACTTCTTCTGTGTTATGGGTTTGTTCAGAGCCGCTTTTATCTGTTTCCCATCAAACAAGAATTTAATTTTACAGCTGAGAAAAAAAATAGTCCTGAATAACTGAAACGTGCAGAGAGGGCAGCAGAAATCTTAGACTGCAGTTTCTTCTGTTGTAAAATGCATTACTGTCATTAGAAATTTATTAAATAAATAAATAAATAAATAAATAAATAAATAAATAAATAAATAAATAAATAAATAAATCAGCTGTAGCCCAAATAAACTGAGCTAAATAAGACAGTTTGCGTGTAAAATAGGTATTTTTTACTCTATTAATTGTGTTAAAATATGGTTATTGACAAGGTAATATGGTTAAATGCTATATTAAAACTAATAAAAGTATCACAATGGTTTTACTGTGTTAAAAACAGTTCATTTTTATACTAAAATAAATAATTAAAGAAGGCTTATTAGAAGTCTGTTGTTTTGCTGACTCACAACCTAACTTCTGGCTGGAGACATGTCCATCTTGCTCTGCGCGTGTTTCTATTGGCTGTCAGATCTTTAAGGGGCGGGACTGMAGTTAGCGTGTGGTTGACGTACAGAGAAACTTCCAGAAGTGATTGCGGTGATCTGAAGAGCAGCTGTATTGATTGCGGTGATTGGAATAGCAGCTGCGTTAGCCTAAATCAGTCCAGTGCTGTGTTGATAGTTGATATCAACGAAGTAAAAGAATTTGAGGTTAATCTACAAGGTAAGTAACTTTGTATAAATGTTTTGTACTACTTAAAACTGATGTAGTGTGTTACAATTAAGAATTTAAGTGTAATTAGCGCATTAGCATGCTAGCGAACTTTAGCATTTGACTTGTTAGCCTCATATTTCAGGTTTTTAAAGTTGCTAATGTTATAGATAAACTCCCACAGACTCGACATAAGAAGTAAATGTGCTTTTATAAATGAAATTAAAGAGAATAAAAGAATTATTAATGTATGCAGTGGATCAGGACAGTGAGAAGATGTTTCGCCTGGAGGACGTCTTTATTCGACCTTTGCTGCCATCTTTGACCTTCATGGATGCAGACTGAGACGTTTTCCCTCCACATCTGACCAAAGCATCACCTTTATTCCCTGTTGCTGCTGAACCGTGAGTAAACCAAACTCGCTGTAAGAATGTGTTTTAGTGGCTTTGACCAATTCTGCTCCCAGTTCCTTTAAATGATTGGGTTTTAAAAGAAGGTTTTAGTTAATTTAGTATAGAAAACTGGACTTTAAATGTTGTGAAAAGAAGGAACATGAACTGACGACGTGTAAAAAGTTGTGTAGAATTTTTAGACATTTGTCTAATTCTTGTTCAAACGTTTGTTACTAAAATTTCATCAAAAAATTTAGCTACTTAAGTCATTCTTGTGTAAATGTTAGAGATTAGGGTGTGTTTATATGTTTTTAAAGAAAAATAAATTTTAAAGAAACTCCATTTACATATTAATTCAGATAAAAGATGATAAATTCTAAATGTTTCTCCTGTTTACAAAGTAATACATTCATTTAATACCAGAACTAAGGGTCCATCCATAGTATGCTACAACAACATTTAATGCTTAGTTAATATTTTACCTACTTGGAACAGGTACTGTACAAATATTAAAAAGTTCCTTAGGAAAATATGACCCGTTCAAGTCCCGGAGATTCTGAGGTGAGCTTTGAGTCAAAGTTAGAATTTGTGTTCATCTCAAACTGGTTTCTGTCGAACATTATCCTGCTGAAAGACTCTGCAGCTCTTTAGCTGCTCCCCTGACCAACAATAAGGTAAGAATGTCCTGTTTTAGATAACAATAAAATCTCTCTCCTCAATAAGAGCAAATATCTTTAAAGATCAAAGGACAGAGTCAAACAGTAAAAGCCTGATATTTTGCTTTTAATGTCTGATGTTTTTCTTTACGTTCTGGCCTTTCTTTATGTTCAAGCATCATTATCTTGTTTCCATCAGAGAGGGACTTTGTGTCTTTGTGTCGAGTCATTATCTGCACGCCTGGCTTTGTGTTTACTGCTGCCTGCAGCCATTAGAGGTGTTCACCATTCAAACACACTAACCGTCCCCTCAGCGAGTAAAAAACATTCTGCAGAGCTGCTTTTTATGTCTCCTGATTCAAGACTCCAGTTTTCAGACCGTCAGGCTGTAACGCACCAGCACCCATTGATTTCTGGGGTGTGTGTGTTGTGGGGGGGTGAAGCTTCAACGACACCTGGAGTCTCAGCCGTGGACTCTGCTGGTCTCCTGTCTGTCACGAGCTGTTGGACAAGAGTCGGACAGTGACGGCCTTTAATTACCTTCAGGGTTTCCATTTTTCAGCTGCTGATGCACTGATACGACAATCCGGCCCCCCTCCATGTCCTGACAGAGTCAGAGGAGGGAAAGCTCCTCCTCCTCACTATTTCAGGACTTTTCTTCCAGAGAAGCTCCTCAGAATGAGGCCACCGAACGAGGAAGATGAAGAGCTAATAGAGAAATGACATCTTCTACAAAAGTGCTGACATGTTGAGCATGTTGCTAAAGATGTTGAATCTGACTTGTTAAAGCTAAAAGTAGTCAAACAAGAGCTGAAAGTAGTCAAACAAGAGCTGAAAGTAGTCAAACAAGAGCTGAAAGTAGTCAAACA